CTTTTGTGGTAGTTAGTAAGCAAAAAACGGCGGTCATGAAATGAACTCACTGTTTGCCATGGGGTAATTTTTGCCAAAAGCCAGAAGTAAACGCCGTTGTTAATCAGGGTCATGTGACTGCAGGTGTGCTGCAAATGGTTATAAATACGGGCTGGTTGCTGAACGTCCAAAATGTGATCATAAGACCGTGGGGGGAGGGGGGGCGGATGTCAGAACTTTGAAGCCGGATCATACAGTAAATTCCTTTTTCTGGATCTGTTGTAACCTTGGTCTCTAAGTGACTGGTCATAAGTTGAGGATTACCTATAAACAACCAAACTCAAAGAATACCAACGACTCTACAAGCTAGATTAGAGCTTGGTTCCAGAGACAATGTCTGGATTGGCAGGGCACGCCCAACTAGCGTGTATGCATCACACATGTCTCTGTATATATGACATCGTGCATCAGAGACAGCCATGAAGACGCACATCTTTACGATATCCCCTTTGGAGCGTTGAAACGCACTTTGTGTGTGTGGATGTTTCAGCTGCTGCACAATGCCACGTGAATCCACATCAGGACACAGGTTGGCTATCTGGAGCCGGGGAGCTTGACTGTTCAGACACTGTCCTGGCTACCGGTCTGTTTCCAGGTCAAATGCAAAGGGCCTCTGTTATGACATCGGAGGGGCCCTGTGTGACTGGGGATGACTGGCCCAGGCGTCCCTCCCCTCTTTGCCCCTCCTTGGGCTGCCCTGTCTTGGGAAGAGGTACTTCCGCTCACCCAGTCCTCTTTTGGGATGTCCGTCTGCCTGGCAAGGTGAGAAGAAAGGCCGGTCGATGGGCCTCAGTTGTTTCTTCCCATGATCTTCTGGTAATGTTTAAAAAGAGAAAGAAGAAAGCATTTTAGGGATACTGTTGATGGTGTTTTTCCTTATAGCATTATAAAGAATATAGTGGTAGGACTTGCAGCAAAGAGCTGATTAAAGGTGACATTACTATTTATTAAAGGAAAGTAATAATTTCTCTTCATCTATTCCAGTGGTTCTCAACCTGTGGGTGGGGACCCCATTTGGGGTCGAACGACCATTTCACGGGGGTCGCCAAACAACGCAGTCTGCCATTTTTTTCCCCTTTTCCTTAGCTGTGCTACTCCGTTTTATTCTCTTGGCTTTTGAAAGCCAATAGAATAAACTCTCTTGAATAGAGTCTAATTCTATTGGCTTTCAAAAGCCAGTAGGAATTGTCCAGGCTGTCTCTGCCCTGCTGAGCCCGCCAAAAGTCCCATTCTGCAAACGGGGCTGCAAGTTGTCTGCAGCGAAGGCGAGCTGTCTGGAAGTTTCCACCCCTCCCTGCTGAGCAACTACTAAAAATGTAAGTAAAAGAGGGCCAGGAGTGGGAGGTGGGAGGCCGGCGGGCGCAGGGAGGGTTGCTGGCGCACGTGGGGCCCGGCGGGTGCCTTACCTCCCTTGGGCTGGGCCAGCTGGTGGCCCAGCCGGTGGTCGGCCTGCGCCGTCTCTGCAGCTTACCAGTTACGCCTCGGCCGGCGCAGGGGGCGGCACCACGCATGCACGGCGCTCCCAGGCAGGGAAAGGCCTTGACTTACGACCGGTTGGGTAGTCCTCGACTTACGACTGGTTGGGGGTCAAGGCATTAAAAAGGTTGAGAACCACTGATCTATTCTCATTCTTTTAAAAAAAGGACAATTCTGCCCCCTTGTGGTGTCTGTTTACTTTCAATAACTCAGTAATTGCTTCTGAAGTAGCCCAAAAATGAAAGGCCATAACATTTTTTTTTCACCTCCAGAGAAACTGGCATGTAAAATAAGAATGGTTCAAAGGAAATAAAACAAAGCAATTTTGTTCGGCTTTGGCACTCTTAAAAGTTGTAATCTTACAGAAAACAAGTTTTCACTGAGATTCAAATTAGGACCACTCGTTTCGTTAAGCCTCAATGTGGGTTAGTGTGTTGTACGAATCCAGCTGTGGTTTATGGTTTTGCATTTTATATAAATCCAGCCTATTTAATAAACCATGGTTAAAGTAACCTATAGCTTACTGCAAGATGAGAGCCCACAGAAACATCTACATTCCTAAGAGGTTGAGGGGGGGGGTGTTGTGTGTATTCTGGATATTGATAGCCTGAGTTGTGAGGTAAGGCTGTGGGCCAATTCTGGAACACTGGACTGGGGAGAAGTGTGCATAAACTGGCCCAGAAGCGCCATTCACAAAACCTTGTTTTACTAGAAGGTGAATTAGCTCTCTCCCACTTAGCAAAACCTTAGTAAAGGGACTGTTGTTGTGCCTGGGGTTGCTGCTTTAGGCTCCAAGTGCAGTTTTTTTGCATATGGGTTTTATAAATGGCTTCTTATATATTTTATTTTCTTTATTTTGCTAGCCTCCCACAGTTTTAGTGAACTACTTTGATGTGCTTCTACTTAGGCGTGAAAGCCAGTTGGGTGACTTTGGGCCAATCACCAGGAGATGGTGAGTTCTAATCCTGCTTTAGGCACCAAAACCTGCTGGTTGACTTTGGGCCAGTCATTCTCAGTCTAACCCATGGGTGTCAACTTGCCACGTCACATGACGTGTCACGACATATCATGACTCTTTTTGCATTGCCAGCAATAGGCTGGGCGCGGCTTCAGTATGATGAAACCAGCCTACGGGCTGGCAGTTTGACACCCCTGGTCTAAACATCTCCCAGTGTTGTTGTGGGGAAAATAGGAAGACAGGGGTGTATTATGTATGGTTGCTGAGTTGAGTTACCTGTAAAAGTAGGATAAAAATCAAGCAATAGTTTATTCCAGTGATGGCAAACCTTTTAGAGACGGAGTGCCCAAACTGCAACACAAAACCCACTTATGCATAGTCAGGTGCTGGGTGGGTATGGCCCATTTGGGTGGGCGTGGCTATGGTGGTAACAGCAGACTGGGTGGGACTAAAAAGTTCAACCAATCAATTCCAACTTTGCAAAATCTTCCCCCCCCCAGAAGTTGAAATTGACTGATTGATTGAAGCTTTTTTTTTTTGCACATGGTAGTGGAGGCCTAAAGCGAAAAGGATTTATAAAACCCAGCTGAAGGCCTAGGACTGGGGCAACGGTGCGCGTGCCCACAGAGAGGGCTCTGAGTGCCACCTCTGGCACCCGTGCCATAGATTCGCCACCACTGGTATATATACGATGGATGGCCATATAATTTCCTTAATAAATACTATAAAGGCCTTGCTGAAAATGAAGATGTTATAACTAGTAAATGTATGACCACAATTGAACCCAATATGCCTGTTGCTAAGCAAGACCATTGTTAAATGAGTTTTGCCCCATTTTACGACCTTTCTTGCCACAATTGTTAAATGGATCACTGCAGTTAGTCACACGACCATTAAGTGAATCTGGCCTCCCCATTGACTTTGCTTGTCAGAAGGTCGCAAAAGGAGATCAAATGTCCAAAATTCAGGCTCTTGGTCTGGCAGGTGTTTGCGACAGTCGCTGCAGTGTCCTGGAGTCACATAATTGATATTTCCTACCTTTCCAACCGGCTTCCAACAAGGAAATTCCACAGGGGAAGCTGGATTTGCTTAATGATTGTGCAATTCCATTAAAAACTGCAGTGATTCCCTTAACAATTGTGGCAGAAAAGGTCGTAAAATTGAGCACAATTCACTTAACAACTGCCTTGCTTAGCAACAGAAATTCTGATCCCCATTGTGGTCATAAGTTGAGGACTACCTGAACCAAGCCATGGTTTGCAGACCATGGTGGCTTAAAAGAAATAAATTGCCTAGCTGGTTTAATGTGAATCCCTCAACCTCTGTATGTTATGGGTGGGACTTATGATGTCACATTGAAGCGCAAGCTAGCCAGACACGTTTTAATCTAACATGGGGTAGAATCCCAATTTGATTAGCTTATAGACCAGGATTTTGTGTGGTCCCAGAAAGTGGGGAAACATTGTAGAAATCATGATCAAAGATGCCTGCTAGGTGCCAAGCCTCAAGTATAGTGGCTGTCTGAGAACCAGTTAGGCATGGTGGTTAAGGACACCAGGCTAGAATCCGGGGAACTGAGTTCTAGTCCTGCCTTAGACTTTGGGCCCATCAGGAAGACAAAGACAAGAGCAGGGGTAGGCAACCTTGGCTCTTTTATGACTGGTGGACTTCAACTCCCAGAATTCCTGAGGCAGCCATGCTGAGGGGACAGGGAGAGGTTTCCAAGCTGAGCCAGGTTGGCAGAGGGAATTCTGGGAGTTGAAGTCCACGAGTCATAAAAAGGTTGCCTAGCCCTAGACAAGAGTAAACTATTTCTGAAAATGTTGCCAAGAAAATTGCAGGGACTTGTTGGTGTATCTGCCAAGAGCAAAATATAAAGATTTTTAAAAAAGCAAAAACAAAATAGGAGTATATAGACCCATATATTACATAGGCTAGCTTATCATTCAGTCTCAATAAACGAGAATATTTGTAGCTCAGCGCTGAACTGAGGGATCCCTGGCTACTCTCTGAATACTGAATGAACTCAGTTACCAGCAATTGCAATGCAGACTGGATTATGAGGGGTCCTTGGTGCTCTTTCAGGCGGGTTGTTTTCCTGCAGACATTTCATTTCCCAAATGAAGTAACATCATCAGGGCTAGTGTGATCAGTGACTAACTCTGATGATGTTACTTAGTGAAACGTCTGCAAGAAAGCCACCAAGCTCAGAGAGCACCGAGGACCCCTTATAATTCAGTCTGCATTGCGATTGATGGTAACTGAGTTCACTCAGCGAAGTATAATGCACTTGAAGTTAGGTTACTGTGTCTTGTGAACACAGCCAGTCTTGGGCCGTTTGCACCAGGCTGAATGAGAGGAGAAGATCCTGCTAGCAGAAAAGCCATTTTGGGGAGCCCGCTATTAGGAACGGTTCGGTACCTCCCTTTTGTCGTGCAGCTGTTTTAGCGTGTTTGCGGTAGCCTGGTTAGTCAAAATAAGGGCGGAGGGAGGGAGGGAGGGAGGGAGGTGAAGTTACTGGAAAGTTTCGGGTTTCACCGTCCAGGAAGTCGCAACTTCGGAGGAGCTGCTGTGATAAACTGGGCGCGCTCAGGACAGTCGCTGCCCCGGCCAGAGCCGGTGACTTTCTTGGTCGGAGGACCCAGCGCGTTTCTCATTCCCTTTCCTCTCTTCCTCTTCGGGAAAGGCTCGGAAGGGCGGCATGGACCTGGGCGTGATCGTGTCCAAGAGCGTGCTGCTCTTTATCAGCTTCATCTTCTGGGTAAGTCTCCGAAAGCTCCCGCCCCTCCTTTGAGATGATTTACACGCTGCTACGACCGGGCGGAGGACGGCCGGGGCTTCGAACAACAACCGGCGTTGTTTTGGCAAGAAAACCGAACAGGGTGGCGGCTTGCAAGAAGGGAAGACTTACTCCAAGTTTTGCTCAGAATTAGAAAGTTTTTCTGCCAAGTTTAACTCGGAGCTTAGCCTCGAAAGATGGGAATGCGCTGGCCTGGTTCACACGCTCCCCCACCCTGTAATCCTGGGATTCTGGCTCAGGATTTTGTTTGAAAATGGCCACTGGGGCTTGTAAACCTTAGTTTGTCGTACTTTATGCAAACCCAGTTCCGTGGCTAAATCAGAATTATGAACGTAGTCTTTAGATGCAGTCTGGGGTATAAACTGATTTTTGGCTTTTTTCTGTTGCAACTGAAATTTTATATCGTTTAGGGCAGGGATAGGCAACCTTGGCTCTTTTATGACTGGTGGACTTCAACTCCCAGCTTTGCTGGCTCAGGAATTCTGGGAAGTCCACAAATCATAAAAGAGCCAAGGTTGCTTACCCCTGGTTTAGGGGCAAGACCTAGCTGTTCAGAGCTAAAAGTCCCATATTGGTACTACCATCCTTTAGGGCAGGGCTTTTCAACCTGTGGTACGGGTACCACTTGCGGTAGATACGCGACCATCCCAGAAAAGTGGTAGCGGGGGGGGGGATGAGCTGAACCGGTGGCAGCACCGCACAAGCCTGAGCGAGAGACAGCTGGAGCTGCAGGGCTGTCAGGGCTCAGCGGAAGTGCCAGGATCAGCACCAGGCTTCATCTGGAGTTCAGCACTGATCCTGGCGCTTCTGCTGAGCCCAGAAGAAGCACCGATCAGCTGGAATGTTGCAGCATCTCCAGGGTCTTGTGATTTATATTCACACGGTTGGCAACTGATTCATATTTATGACGGTCACAGTGTCCCACAATCATGTGAAGTAACCAAAACCTGCTGCAACCACCCAGCAGACGGGGGGGGGGGGAAATAAAAACCAAACACCCCCCCCTGCTGCCAATCCTCAACAGAAATGCGCACAACAATGAAAACCTTGGACAGGAGGAAGAGCACCGCCGGGCGCTGTCTTGCTCGGCTGTGGCTTGGAGGGCACTTAATAATAATAATAATAATAGTAATAATAAAGTTAGAAAGGACCTTGGAGGTCATCAAGTCCAACCCCCTGTACCATTTCGGACAAATGGCTGTCCAGTCTCTTCTTAAAAATTTCCAGTGTTGGAGCATTCACAACTTCTGGAGGCAGGCTGTTCCACTGATTAATTGTTCTAACTTTCAGGAAGTTTCTCCTTAGTTCTAGGGTGCTTCTCTCCTTGATTAGTTTCCACCTGTTGCTTCTGTCCTGCCTTCAGGGGCTCTGGAGAATAACTTGACTCCCTCTTCTTTGTGGCAGCCCCTGAGATCTTTGAACACTGCTATCCTGTCCCCCCTCATTCTTCTCTTCGTTAAACTAAACATGCCCAATTCCAGCAACCGTTCTTGATATGTTTTAGCCTCCAGTCCCCTGATTATCTTTGTTGCTCTTCTCTGTACTCTTTCTAGAGCAGTGGTTCTCAACCTTTTTAATGCCTCGACCCCCAACCGGTCGTAAGTCGAGGACTACTCAACTGGTACAGCACTGTTTGCAGAATGGGATTTTTGGCGGGCTCAGCAGGGCAGAGACAGCCTGGACCGTTCCTACTGGCTTTTGAAAGTCAATAGAATTAGACTCTATTCAAGAGAGTCTATTCTATTGGCTTTCAAAAGCCAGTAGAATAAAAGGGAGTAGCACAGCTAAGGAGAAGGGGGAAAAAAATGGTGGACTGTGTTGTTTGGCGACCCCTGTGAAATGGTCGTTCGACCCCAAATGGAGTCCCGACCCACAGGTTGAGAACCACTGTTCTAAAGTCTCAACCTCTTTTTTACATCGTGGTGACCAAAACTGGATGCCGTATTCCAAGTGTGGCCTTACCACACTTTTTTCAGTGCCATTGTAACTTCGAACAGTCACTAAGCAAATCTGTACTTTATCACTTTTTTCCTTTTTTTTTTTTTTTTTTTTTTTGGTCATCAAGTTTTTGAGACCTTGCTAGGCGACTGGTGGTCCTCGGATGTTGCCATATCCTAAAAGTGGCACAATGGGTGAAAAGGTTGAAAAGCCCTGCTTTAGTGAACACCCATTTGCTTAAGAAAGCTTCTTCTGAAAAACCGGGTTAGGGGATGGGGGCCTCCTCATACAGTTCTTCTTCTGCTCCTTGGCAGCAGAGTCCAGGTGGGGCAGGTTTTTGTCTGCAATCCAGGATTACTTCTCCATTCGGAAGAGTGAAGAAGAGAAATACTTTGTCATTAGGAACCCAAGTTCCGCTTTCCAGAATAAGGGCCCTACACGCAGGGTTTCTCAGCCTTGGCAATTTTAAGATAGGAGGACTTCAACTCCCAGAATTCCCCAGCCAGCTGTGTAGAGAAACCTAAGTCCCAATTCTTGACCACACTGTGGATTGCGTGGGGTGATTTTGGGCTTTTGGCGCAGGGGGTGTGGCTCTCCCAACCCAATGGACCCCCCGGGATGTTGGGGGGATAAAATACAGTGGTACTGTCTGTTGTGTGTGTTTCCTTGAACTCCTGGAGAAGTTGTGATGATGAATCAGTGCCTGTCACAAAGGGTAAATCGTATAAGCTTGTACAGCACAATTGTGGAAGAAATGACTTTGGGAATAAGGAAGAAGAATGTGTGAATAGTTGCTCATAAATTGGACTTCTTCACCTCTATGATTCTAACAAAGAGCCCAAATCTCCAGATAAGGAATAGCAGATTTTATTGTTATTTATGTCAGTTGATAGTATATTAGTTTCCCTCTGCTTTCAGTTCTGTAACTCCTCCGTTACAAGAGGGCTTCCTAACGTATGGTCCTCGTATATTGATACACAGGAAGCTCCAGTGGTCCCCTGGCAATGGTGAGGAGCATTGGGAAGTAAAGTGTGCTGGTGCCATTTAGCAGGACCAATGTTATTCTGTATTCCAGTGATGGTGAACCTTGTAGAGACCGAGTGCCCAAACCGCAACCCAAAACCCACTTATTTATTGCAAAGTGCCAGGGCCGCATTAACATTGTGGTGCCCTCGGGGGGGGGCAGGGAGGCACCTCTGAGTGCCGCCTCTGGCATGCAAAAAACGGGCGCACAAAAATGGACCACCATGCTGCAAGGCGCAAAAACGGCTGTCGCCATGCTGCAGGCTGCAGATATAAGGCGCTGCACCACACAAGAACGGGGCAGGGCTAGTGAGTATCACACAGGCACTAGACCTGCCCCATTTGCAGTACGTGTGTGCTCATGGCCCCATGTGCGCATGGACGCATGTAAAATGCTAGTTGGCTGCTTCGCCTTCTTTGTGCTGGGTGGGGCTCCTGCTCCGGGCGGCAGTGGCGGCCTTATGGACCTGCTGCCGCTGGCCAACAGAGAGGGCTCTGAGTGCCATCTCTGGCATGCGTGCCATAGGTTTGCCACAACTGCTGTATGGCATCAAGACAACAGTATATACAATAATTGCCTTTGGCATAAATGAATGGAAATATTCTGTCATTTCTTCAGCATGTCACAACTCTAACCACTATGCCAGTCTTCTTTAATCTGGCTGACCCTCTCCAAGTGTCTTGAACAATTGTCCTTGAAATTCTCAGCCAGCAAGTTGAGTAAGAATGGGTTATTATCTAGCTCTAAACCGGCTAGATAACCTTCTAGGATAGGTTCCTTCTGCATCGATTGAAAACTTGCAGAAGGAACTTATGTCTCTGTTGATATCCTTTGCCAAATTAACCTCCACAAATGAGGCAGGCAAACTGCATGAAGAAAGAAAGTTATGGGAGTGAAAAACTCAAAATATCCTATGAAGAGGAAATCACAGTTTGGGCACCTTTGTTGGATTGCTCATTCATTTCCCCCAAGGCTGCTCACAAGTTGTTGACTTGGGCTGGGTCCAAGAAAGGTACCTGGATTGGATCCAGTTACTTTCGGGATTGGAGCTGGAAAGTTGTAAACTGGAAAGTTGAAATAAAAAATCTTGGAAGGCAATGGCAAAGCACTTCCTCATCAAGAAAATTCATCAGAAATCAAGCATGATGACTCAAAGATGGCTTGACTTTTAAAAGAGAAACAGGATGCATCTTTTGCTGATCTCACTGCCATCTTCCCAGTGGCTGCCCACAACATCTGCGTCGTCTTTGACAACCGTGGTGAAGACCACATCTGCTCTATTGGGACTGCAGGCCGTGGGGCTGTTTCTCAGAATCAGAATTCCCGAATAACCTCAGATGCTCGGCCAAGGGTTGGTTTTCATTTTTGGCAGAGAAAACCAAATGTAGGGTTTTCCACAGTGGGTAAAAAATATTTGCTGAACCTTATAACCATTAAAAGTGTGCCAGGTGGCTCAGGACTGAACTCTTGTATCAACATCTGGGATGTTCATGAATTCCTTACAGCAGTGTTTCTCAACCCTGGCAACTATAAGACATCTGGACTTCAACTCCCAGAATCCCCCAGACACGCTTTGCCATTCTAACTTCTCTAGATTGTCATTGCAGTTTTTGAAACCATTATTAGTAGGCTCTCTTTTTAATCTTTGGAACCTGACTTTTGTCTGTCAATTTATATTTTTGTGTTTTTATGGTACAACTGACATATAACTGATCCAATACATATCATTTATCTTCCACTGGGGGCTAAAATAAATATTGCGGATGGGATCTCTGTGGATTCTCTGGAACTGAGTTCAACTGTGCTGGGTTACTAAGGCACGCATGGACTATTTTTCACACGGGAGTGAAAGGAAGCTCATATTTGTCATTGTGTGTCTATGACAGTGTTTCTCAAGCTTGGCGACTTTAAGACACATGGGCTGCAACTCCCAGAATTCATGCTGGATAGGAAATTTTGGGAGTTGAGGTCCACTCATTTTAAAGTTGCTAAGGTTGAG